GTTTGAGTCAGTTCACAGATACAGTTAAAACAAACAGAAGTCATACCAAGACGTAAAATCTAGGAGGTAAAAAGGCAGATAATGTAACATCTTTCACAATATTGTACAAAATATGTTTTACTGCGCTGCATAGAGTGAACACAGTATTATTTTGGTTTAATTATATACGCTGACATGCTGGTTGGCATGTACTGGTGGCTGGTGTCAGCAGGTTATTGTTGAGGTCTCAAGCAGAGTGTGAATAGTAACAACGTGAAAATGATTTTTGGTTCAGGAGTTCAGCTGAGAGTTCAAACACGTGAGTAAAACGTTTCATAAAACGTGATTTTAAAGCCAGAGTTGTTGTTGTTTGTGTCGTTATGTTTTGTTTTTAGCTGTGGACAGACAACAGGACTGTGGAGATTTTTTAACCGTATCTCTTCAACACATCTCCAGTGTTCAGATTCAGTTCTGCATCACATCACGTTCAGGAAGAAACACATTCATCTTTTTATCCAAACGCCACAACTAAACTCAGGCTTCTTATTTCATGTCAGAGTGTAGATGGTTTTTGTTCTGGACTCAATGAATGTGTGAATGTCGGATACAGGTTCACTTTTGGAAATGGGATCAAACTACAGGTCCACGCTCGTAAGTTGAGTAACATCATCGTTTTCATGACTTAATGAAAAGGTCATTTAGTGAAATTACTACAATCATAATCACAATAGAACGTTACCTGACAAAACCAGAACTTTTGTTGCTTTTCCAAGATGCGTCTTGTTCCGAACTACACATTACCCGAGGCTTAGCTGTTATTATTAGAAACAATACACATCACACAATTCATGTTTTCATTTATGACATTCTTCACACTCAGAATGTTCTTTATTTGAATTAATTAGATGCACATGCAATTCTTTACGTGTTACATTACATGTGCCTACATTTAATGAGTTTACACATGTAAAATGTCAATGTGTTATTTAAAATTCACACATTCTTTGTAAACAGTGCAGCCTCTGTGAACTAAAATAATATGCAGATAAACCATTAATATTATAGATAAAACTTATTTAACATGAAGAAAAAAGTAAGTTAAACGTGTCTCAAAAAACTCTCTCTCACTCTCTCTGAAGTCTTGGTGTTTATTCATCAAACACACTGTGTTAAACCTTCAGTCATTAGTCGTTAGTGTTGAAGCACATTAACAGTGATTGAATGAGCTGCCAGTGTTTGTTGTGCTGCGGCGTCAGACTGTGTGAACGCTGCTGGCTTGAAAATCACCTTTGGATCTGGAATTCATTTAATCGTACAAACACGTGAGTCATGAAAAAACGAATAAGTCCACAACACGTGAATATTATTTTACATTTTAGATACTGATGATAATAATAATAATGATAATAATGATAATAATAGTAAACTTTATTTGTATAGCACCTATCATACAATAAATGTTTTACAACAAAGAAATGACCTGCACTAAGAGCTTCATATGTAAAGAAAAGACATAAAATGAACATGTTAAAACATTGATATAAAATGAAAAACATTAAAAACATTAATAGAATGAGATGGAATAATAATAATAATAATAATGACATATAAATAATATATGAAATAAATTATTGAAATAAGTTAAAAAAAAAAGAAACATCACGTAAATGACTGAAACCATCATCTATCTGCACAAAACTAAAACATCAAATATCTGATTCCTAAACTGTTTAAGATCAATATATGATAATCGTATGAATGTTACTTTAAATCAGTTTACAATGTGTAGATTTGATGAATGTAAAGACACGTAAACTGAGTGAGATGTGTGGTAGTTTTTGAATGCTGCTAACTCGCTGTGTGAATAGAAACAACTACAAACTCCTGTTTGGATCTGGAGTCTCAGTCACAGTGACCACACGTAAGTTCACGTTGTATTTACTCAAATAACATCTATAATAACGACCGTTAGCATGTTTTTGTGTCCACATTGTTCCAAAAGTTAAACACTTAAAAATGTATTTCTCCTGTTCAAAGTCAGGATTAGATACATTTTATTAAATCATATATTTTCCAATTAGTCTTTTGATTGTTTTACTTCAGACGCTCCATTTTGACTTTTTTAAATTTACAAAGATAAAACATTTGGCTTTTAGTGAATAAAAGCCAACTCTGGTTAAACATGTGTAAACAGAAATATGTAAACTTGTAAACTCACTCACTCAGTCACTCAGACAGTTTGCTGGTGTTTTTGCTGCCAGATAAATCTGTGTGTGAATAACATCAGGACTGTGTTTGGATCTGGAATTAAACTTATTATCACGACACGTGAGTGTGAGACTTGATTATTAAGTAAAGATTTAATTCATATTTTAATGTAATATCACATGTTGGTGTAAAAATAGTTTTTGTGACATTTCAAAGTAAATTTATTACGTGTGACTCGTCACTAAAACTGAAGCTGTCTCTTTTTAAACTAATGAACATGATCTAAATTCTGCCTCCCAATCCAGACAGAAGAGTCATTGATCTTCATCTCGTCATGTTGATTAAAGTACAAATATCTTTTCATGTCTCGCGTTTCAGGCGTAAAAAAAAAGCTTTGAAACTAAACTGATGTTAATGTTTTTATATTCAAGATCCTCCTCATGTAGCAGATCGAAGTTCATTGTGTCTTCAGAACTTAAACAAGTGGTAATTGTCCAACAACACAACGATGTGTGACACAGCTCGGAAACAACAAACTCTTGTTTGGGGCTGGAACTAAACTTCAGGTAGAAAAAAGTGAGTTAACAAATATTATATACACATTTTTATTATTAATAAGGTTTGAATTGAAGCACTACAGAGCAGGTTTGCTGAATTTACTCCTAAAACTGTAACAACACACAATCAAATAAAGTAATATCATGTTGACATGGTCAATTTTTATTACCAAAATAAAGGTGGCATCAATCTTGTTGTATTGTTTGTAAAAAAAAATCTGCAGTGAATTTAAATTTAATTTGGATCAATTTAACTAATGCCCCTGATATTCTGTATGATATAGTGTTATACTACACTAACACAACACTAAAACAAAAGCCAAACATTTATACTACTTTATAACTAAAAATAGATGACGTATATGCTACATGTATATATCAACATGAATGATGGGACTGTTCATTCTGAATGACTGCACTGGTTTTTGTAACTGCTTTAGTTCCTGTGTGAATAACAACAACTTCAAAATTATATTTGGATCTGTGATCAGAGTGACTGTACTGACCAGTAAGTGTATCTACATTAACACGTCTTTACGTTAAACTGCATTTCATCATTTAAAATAAATATTCTAGAATTTAAACAGACAATATGAAATTCTCAATGATGCAAATGAGATTTTCTTTTTCACTCCATTTTTTCATCAAATGTAAATTATACACAAGTTAGGAAGTCTGTGTTAAATGTCAAAATAAGCTTTTACATCACAGACATGGAAACCTAAACTCCATTATTAACTCATTATTTAATAAGAGGAATGTAAGGATGTCACCTGTCACCACTTATTTAGCTTTTAGGTAATTTGTTAAAATTACAATATTAATAATCATCATCTAAGTAATTTTATAAAACATAATTACACTTAGTTATGCACAAACTTATATTTACTTGTCATAATTAAAAATGCATTTCTAACATTATAGTACTTATTGTCTATTTATTAAATTTATTGTAGTTTCATTTGATGAAGCAAAAACAAAATGTGCAACAACCAGAAAGAAACTGTCCAACACCACGACAACGGAGTAAACAAATTCATATTTAGTGCTGGAACTAAACTGATGGTGGAAGCAAGAGATCAACAAATTATTGAATTAAATTAAATGATAAAAAAAACCCTGTAAAACTAATTATACTACAAACTGTAGTTCATCTGCTCGGCTGAGTCGTTTTTGTAATTACACAGTCTGTTGTGTGAATTACAACGACAACAAAATCCTGTTTGGATCAGGATCAAGATCGTCGTTGTTTTGAGTAAGTTATTAATAAAACATCTACACATATATGTTAGCGTACATGTTAGCGTTAGCAACCATAAAACTTTAAGTGTTTCTACAACAGCTTTATGATTAAAGCCGTGTCATCTTTAAAAGTACAGGCTCATAGTTTCTAATGGTGAATATAAGTAAGAGTATCAGTATATGTTACAGTACAAACCGCTCCATAGTATTAAACATTACACTTAACATATGCTTAAATTTATAATAATTATACTTTTTGTGTAGGCTACCATTCAATAGACTTTTAACTACATCAATACAGAAATACAACGTAAAATGATATGAGTAAGTAACATAATTAGGAAAATTGATTAAAAAAGTAATTAATTAAGTACAAATATAGAACTATTACAAAGTATATGGTAAATATACATATACAGTACATATACATATACATATATTAGTTTATTCAAACACAATACAGGTAAGTTCACCTTTCATGAACATGATACTGAAACTTTGACATTTTTGATATAAATACATGAACTAGATAAAAATCAGCTGCTACAGCTTTTTAACAAAATTCAGAAAAAACTAAATCCGATTTAAAAAAAGTAAAAATAAGTTTTTAACATGGAGAATTTGAACTTTTGGCTTGTAAAGATGCTGATATTATTTCAAACGTTGTACTTCAGCGGCGGATTACTGAAACGTAGCTTCCCAGCAGCGGCTCACTGGAGATTTTTATGTCTGAAACGTAAATTTTCCTGTTTTTGTTGGTCGGAGTTTCAGAGTGAGTTTCAGTCACTGTGTGTCTGTGAGTGACGTCTTCTTCTGTGGATTTTGATGCAGTTTGAGTCGCTTGTTTTTCTTTGTCTGGCCACTTTTCTTTTAATTACTCATCTCTCATTTTAGCATCTGTGTTTGTTTCTTTTTCTTTTCCCAAAGGAATCGAACAGAAAGCAGGATGTGCAGTTACACTGGAAATGTTTGTTCATGTGAGCTGATGTGTTTTCCTTGTTTTGTGTGTTTCAGAGGAGGATTACGAGCCGTCCTACTACAAACTGACGAATGAGAACACCATGTCCTGCCTGGCCACTGGCTTCAGCAGACACAACGCACTTAGCAGCAACTCATTGAATTGGTCGGAGGTCGTCCGGATCTCAGGAGACTCTCTGTACAACAGTGTGGTTTTGTTTCCACATGGTGATAATGGAGCAAGATGTCCTGAAAGTAAGTGTGAGACATTTAATACAAATCCTCTTTATCATTAAGATATTGTGTTTTCCAAACCCTCTGTGACAACACCTGACAGAAATAAAAACACAAACAGAGTGTGTGTGAATATCCAGAAGAAGAAACAGAAAAGAGAAAAGATCTTTTTTTTTTCAGCTGGAAAAAATTCAAACGGAAAATAGTGTGAAAAAATACAATAAAATTTCTTCCCTACAAAAAGTAAATGGTAAACGGAATTCAGACTTCAAAATAAAATTACATCATCAGGTGTAAATTCAATTAGAAAAAAAGATGTAATTTGGGAAATGAAAAGTTTGGATTGAATTTCAACTGAAAAGGATCAAAACGAAAACGTTTAAATGAGGTTTAAATAAAAATATGTGGAAGATGTGACGGACCTGGTCACTGAGTCTTTGAATGAGCGTCACCGAGAGTTTTAAGACATTTACAGTTTATGTCAATTATCACCATCAAAACTAATAATCACTTGTGTGTGATTTCTTCCAGACAATGATGAACCCCTGGTGTGTGTTGAGCAACTGAAGAAAGGTTGGTACTGAGTCCGACTGAAGCGTCTGAACGTTTAAAGCTCGGTTTGTTTTGTGGTTTAATGTTGGTGATGTTGTTGTTTCCAGGTCCGACGGTGAACACCGTGTCGCTGATCGTCCTGGGCCTCAGACTGCTCTTCATCAAGACCGTCATCTTCAACGTCCTGATGACTCTGCGGCTGTGGATCAGTCAATGTGAGTCCCAAACCACATCACTCACAGACATTGTTGATTCTTTTATTAGTTTATATTAAACACTTCCTCTGATTTATCAGTAAATTCAGTCATATTTCAGTAAAGGCAAAGTTTTTTAAAGTTCATTTGAATAATCATCTTCAACCGTCTCATGGTTCCACAGTCTAAATGAGAGAGTTTGATACTTTGACTTGTTTTGCAGTGAATTTAATGTCTTATTGTTTAGGTCTTTAGAAGTTGTTTTATAAAATAAATGAAAATCTTCTTCATGTCCGAAACCACTTCAACTTTGCTGCCTTTTTTGATTTCTGTAAAGACGTTCGTCGATAATCCTCAAAACTTCCTGCACAAACCTTTCACATTAAAAGCCTTCCAGCAGCTTAAAGGGTATAATCCCTCCCTTTCCAAATAGGCTTTTAATGTGAAACATGTGCAGGAAGTTTTGAGTTTGGCTGACAGCAGCTTAACAACAACTTAAAAACAAAGCAAAGTAGAATAAAGTCTGTTTCTGAAGACGTGGTTCATCAGATGTGACGACCTCCTGGTGTCGCTGCTCAGACCTCAGACTGTTTAATGACCAGTCACGTTTTTGATCGTTCACTTCTAAACGTTTGTTCGCTCTTCCTGTGGTGAGGAGTCATCAAATGAAAAGAATAAGTTAGTTTGTAAAAAGTGGTGGTTTTAGTTCTACTGTACATGTCAAAAGGGGAATGTGTTTCAGTATTGAACTAAAACCACCACCTTCCAGAACCTGAACCATGAACCAGTTCCAGAACGGTACCAGTTCTATATGAACATCATTTAGCCGACAGACAGGATTTATGATTGACAGTCCAGGAGACGGACACGTGAAGCATCGTCCACCAGACATTAAAGCAGTCCAGTTTATCCTGATCATCTAAACCACAAGGTGAACGTCAGTCCTCTTCTAACCTGTGTGTCCAGTAGATCCAGTAGCTGCAGGTTCAACTTTGGCTTCTGTGTTCGCCACAATAATTTTAACTCTCTGAGTTTATACAGTCATGAATATTACCCACACAGTGAAGCACAGACAGGTTTATCATTTCATATCATTTCATTTCTAACATGTTGAAAAGCTTCATGTAATGTTCTTAATAAATTCTTTGACCTGAAACATCCAGCAAACCTGACTCGTCTCAAACATCCCATTTTTATTGTCACGGTTTTTTGTTTTTAACTTCACATATTTTTTCTTTAGATTAAAATCTTTCACTTCTTTCACGGCTCTAGATCAAAATTTCAACTTACAATTGAAACTTCTCTGGTTCATTCACATGTTTTTCTTGATGAAACTTTTTGGCTTCGACTCCGAACGTCTTCATAAAACAGACTCACGATTTTCTGGATTTCACGTGCGATTTGCCTCATAGTTAGAAACCTACCGACAGATGTTCTGTTTGTAGAGTTAAGCTGAATGTGGCGTCAGCAGATGTTTGTGTCTCTTGAATCATAATGAACATTCATGTAATATATTTTTCCATGTTTTGTGTTTCAGGATTCAGCTGATCTTCACCCAGAGTCACTGCTCAGCTTCATGTCCGAGTCTCAAACGTCTGTATCATTTATAATAACATGTATAAATATCATGTCAGCTGTTCACCATACGTCTGTTAATATCGTCATACTGTTGTGATACATAAATTCATGTAGTTTGTATTAGTTTTGAGATGTTTAAGGTTTTTTTTGTCATATTGTGAGTGATGTTTTAGATGAATGAGTTTCTGCTGGTGTAAATATCACAGTCATCGTCCTGTTCCACCAACTTACTTCTTAAACTTGTAACATTTCCTGTGACGTCACAATAAAAACTCAACAACAGACTGAATCATTGTTGTGTTTTATTCATGAGTTTAAATACAGTGTGTAGAAATGTGAGGTGGTGGCCCCTCCCCCGCGACACAAACTGGACAACAATATATTAAACAATATTTCTCCAAAGAAGAAAATATGTCATGTTTTGTCTGTTGTTCATGAACAGCAAGTAAACACGAGGGTTGTTGTAAACGTGGTTAGAGAACAACATAATGTGTGCTGAGAAGCGACAATTGTTTTCTTTTAATAACAATGAAGGTTTTATTTTCCTGATGAGAAAATCCTCAGATACAAACTTCAGGTCTGGTCTGCTGCTGTTGTCATGTTGAAGCAGGAAGGGGCCGAACACTGATGGAAGGAAACTCTCCTCAGGTAGAATTGTATTCTGTAGCTTTAAAGCCTGAAACGTGGCTTCAAATCTTTATCATTTCCCATATGACATTAAATATTCATGTGTGGGAGTATTAGATCAGATCTGACTGACAGTAAATCAAACTAACCACCAACTGTCATCAACTCCTGACTCAAATGTTGCTTCAATCCTGATTGGTGCAACAGCTTTTTCTAAATGACTCACACACACTTCAGACCAATGAGAGCGGCTCGTAGGATCTCGTCGCTCATAGCAAGAAACAGAGACATTATCTCACTGGAACAACAAACAGGAAGCTGCCGTCAAATCAGAAACACCTTGAATATGAAACACATTAAAGTTCTGCTGAGAGAAACGTCTCAGGTGTGAAAACACAGATTATATGAAATCAACATGTTTAACTGTCACTGTGTGATGGGGTCATGTGATCACTTCTGATGTCAGTCACTGTTTTCTATGAAGGTGTTTGCCCACACAATGAGTCAAACTGTAACGTGTGTGTGTGTGTGTGTGTGTGTGTGTGCGCTGAAGGTTTTACAGGAACAAGTTCTGTACACTTTATATTTTCCACTGTCTAAATCTCTCATTGTTTTCCATTCACATTAATCAGTGACTCCTTCACAGATGTTGAGTGTGTCACTGGTAGATCAGAGGTCTCCATCTTGTTTCCTCTCAGAGCTCCTCATGTCTGATATCACTGGTCACATTTATTCACATGTCGATCCAAACTCTCAAACTGATCTCCAAAACCAATCAGATCAATCAGATCATTCAACAAGACGTCAAATATCAACATCCCGAGTCGTGATTCAGTCAGACCTGAACCCACCACTGTGAATAAACCTCCATGAACCTGATTATCAACCAGAGAAGAAGAAGCTCCTCAGTCAGTGGTCAGTGATAAAATACATCCAACAAACAGGAAGTTCAAACAGATCATTCAGTTTAATTCATTTTCCAAAAAGGAAACAAACATGAGCTGAACAACGAACCAGAACCAACTCCTCGTGGTCGTATCCCTCCACCACTCGGACTAGTTCCATGTCACATCTGTTTATCTTATTATAGAAAATATGAACCATCTGTGTGAAGTTTTGTCATAATTGCTGTGAAGCCTTGAGTAGTGGCTAAAAAGTGTTTTGTGAGGTCACACTGACCTTTGACCTTTGATCCCCAAAGTCTGATCAGTTCATCCTTGAGTCCAGGTGAACGTTTGTGACACATTTGAGCTGAAGAATATCGCTCATGTTGAAGCCCACAGTTTAACTCACTGTATCCATGGCAACATGTTTCCTGTTTGTTAGAAAAGTTTAGTCTCTATCTGTTCTGTTATCAGAGAAGTCGTTATCACTGCACGTCGCCTACAGCTGATCTGCTGTAAACAAACCTGACAGTAACTATGGTAACACATTCGCAGTAGATTTACTGAGTGAAGTTGAGTTGTTAAAGTTTGAACTATTCATCCATCGTTTGTACATTCTCTGATTATTATGTGATGTCTATGTATATATGTATATGATCATGTATTTTATTTTCTTTGCACTTCGTACTTTGCACATCAAACTAATGGGTAACCACCTTTTCTTTGTGCTGTATTTAAATTGATCAATTTGCTGTTGAGTTGTTGTGTCTTGGTCCTGAAGCCTGAGCAGCTGTGACTCTGCTGCATGTTTCTAGTGTTAGATATAATCTATAATCTATCATCTATAATCTGTCATGTTAATAAGAGAGAGAGCAGGACTCAGTGTTTGCCTCTCTCTCTGCGGTTTCCTGTTTGTTCTGCTGCAGAGATCAGAAAGTGTCTCTGTGAAGAATGAAAGTGAGAACATTTTAAATCAACAGCACACTCAGTTATTAGATTCAGAAATACACAGTTTGGCCAAAAGTATGTGGTGAGGTCCAGCACTGATGATGGTGATCAGGTGTGGGTCACTGGTTGAGGTCAGAGGTCAGAGGACGCCAGGTGACTTCTTCCACAACAAACTGGGAAACATTTCTTCATGCAGCTGCTGTGAGTTGAAACAGGAGAGACTCAAACTGTGACACCGAGCTGCAGAGTCTTTTCACTACAGATAAAACTAATGACCAAACAGGTTGTGTTGTTGTGGTCGAGGTGGACGGAGCAGGACTGTGAGAACACGGTTCACTTCCTGTTGCAATGTGTTCTGGGTAAAGATGGTCTGAGTTTAATCAACATCACAGTCAGTGTCGACACGTCCAGCCGACATCTCGTGTTGAGCAGCAGTTGAACAGTTCAGTTGAAGTGGAGACACAAAGTTTCGATGCGTGTCACAGGTCGTCCGTCAGCAGCTTGTACGACACATAGTTTTATTGTTATATACAGAAGCTGAGAGAGTCCAGAATCCTAAATAAGTTTTTATCCCGTTATCTCAAGATAACGAATCTCATTATCCGAGATAACGAGATTTTATCAGGAGAAAACGATTTTGGCTGAACCTCATACACGAAGTGGCAGTAACACCTTAGCAACAGTCCTTAGTAACTCGTTAGCTGACGAGGACTGATCTGGCACGTCTGATTAATAAAGTAATTATAATGAGAAAACAAGCTTTGTTATCTTAAGATAATGAGATAATAACTCGTTATCTCGTTAACGAGCTTTATTATCTAACTGTTGGATGAAGTACTGGAATACTTACGGAAGTGGGAGGGGCTTGATGATACCTGTATCAGCCAAGAAGGGGAGCTGCCCAATAACGTGACTTTGCAGTGATAAGAGTCGGGGTCATCACGGCTGTCGGAGTGATGGAACAGTCCTTCCTCTGCAGATCCTAAATCATGGAGTCTGTGTTGGAGAGAGTATCGTATCCACATGTGAACTAAAGTCAGTGATGAAGGTTTGATCTGGTTAAACTTCTTTAACTGCTAAATGCTTCATTTGGTTGTTTTCAATATGTACGTTTACCACCGGCCTTTATCTCACAACCAAAGATGATGCAACTGTCTGTTTTTAAATAAATAGATCAAAACTTTAATGAGAAGAAAGAAAACGCGTTGAACTTGTAGTTTTCAGTTGTGATCGCTCAGATCCTCTGATCTCTGAATGTGTGTCATCACCTCCAGGTCTCAACCAGACTGAATGGAAACAACGAAACCCACAGAGTGAACGCACATCTGTGTGTGTGTGTGTGTGTGTGTGTGTGTGTGTGTGTGTGAGCCACGATTACAGCCCACTTCCACTCCACCTGTTTTCCACTGGCACCGACCCAGAGTCTGTGTTTATCTTAATATTTCAACATGATTGATGTTTTTAATGACGTCCTCTGTGTTTAAACACTGACACAATGAGTCTGTCACCATCAGAAATGAGTGTCTTCATGTTTGTGTCTCAGATGACCTCACACACACTCACACACAACATGTACACAGTGTAGAGTTTACAGGTCAGAGGTCGTCCATTAAACCAGTGTGTCCCTGCTACAGCCTCCCTCAGGTTCAGAGTGTGGTGTGTTCACGGTCAGTGTGACAGAAACAAGTGAAGTTACTTGTTGAGTTTATACAGAGCTGCAGCGATGAAGTATGTTTGTAGTCCAACTCTGAAGTTAGCTTCACTCTGGGTCAATGGGATTTCAACATTGTGTTTTGGATTATTACAGAAAATAAAAACAGTTTCTGATCCTGAGGTTTAGTTCAGCAGGATCATCTTCACTAACGAACATCTATGATGTTTGAAGCCTAAATACAACCAGCAGAAGTAACAAGCTAATGTTGTAAACCAACTACACCACGGTCACATGACTTCAACACCAACACCAGGGTCACGTGACTTCAACACCACGGTCACATGACTTCAACACCAACACCACGGTCACATGACTTCAACACCACGGTCACATGACTTCAACACCAGGGTCACGTGACTTCAACACCAGGGTCACATGACTTCAACACCAGGGTCACATGACTTCAACACCAGGGTCACATGACTTCAACACCAGGGTCACATGACCTCAGCGTCTCCATCACTAAACTTCAGCTCGTAGTTTGATTCAGCTCTGACTCTTGTACTGAAGCTTTTCCTCTGACAGAGTTACAGACCGTTTGTAGAGACACAACCAGGCTGTAAAGGTGGACTGGAGAGTTAACAAAGCTGTAAAGGTGGACTGGTGAGTTAACCAGGCTGTAAAGGTGGACTGCTGAGTTAACCAGGCTGTAAAGGTGGACTGGTGAGTTAACCTGGCTGTAAAGGTGGACTGGTGAGGAGATCGTTTTTCAGGTTCAACATGATGATGTTTAACGTCCCTGACGACCTCTCTGTCTCATTTAGACACTCATTAGCAACCGAGACGTTATAGCTTCAAGAAATCAGGACTGGAGTATTTACTGACTGATTTTATGTTGGAGAATAAAACATGAAAATGTCACAGACTATATCATCAAACCAAGAACACATTCAACAAACTGGAGACTTCAGCACCAGGAAACAGGAAGTGATAAAGCTTCCGTCTGATTAGAAATGCATCATCAGTCTTTGTACCAATTAAAAGTCCACGTCCAGACAAGAGCACCCCAAATGCTCCAGAGTATTGTTGCCTTGTCCATTTTACCCAGAATGCTTTGGGAGCTGAGTCTGAGTGTGGGCAGACTCATAACTGTTATAAATTTCTTACTGTG